AGAAGATTACATTGTCGGTCTCTTATAAGATATAAATGGTATTCACAACTGAGATATTTATGGACATGACTATCGGTTTAGGTTGTAGTATAAACTGGATATAGCTTGTCTTGGCTATTGGTTTATACTAGTGCGCTGCGTCGCATTGAATGGATCACAGTTGAGACGTGTTCTTAAGTTCTGACTATCATGAAGAACCTAGGTCTCGATGACTCTACTAATTCTTAACCCTAATTGTGATACTTAGATATGTGGGATATTTGTTTGTTACTTTGATTTACCATGGGTGAGAGCCAAGTATTGGTTCAATATGCTCTGTATCTTGGGTAACAACATTATCTGCATGATATTTATTTATTGGCATTAGGGCATCGTGTCCTAGAAATCCAGGTTGATGACGTCCCCTTAAGGAACTCATAAGAATTATCGTATAAACTCTGCAGGTGGATTTATTCCGTACGATAATAAGGTTGAGTGGTACTACTTAAGGAATAAAAGATATTAATTAATTAAAGCAGTTAAAAGCTTTAATAATTAATGAACGTGCGATATCTTAAACACGGGGAATTATATTGAGTCTAATAGAAGCCCTGATTCATTTCGGGATAGGACGGGAGTGCAATATTAATTCTCTAGTGGAATGAATTAATATTTACAGGCCAAATTGTGTTCTGGGCTGAACATAAGAATTTGGGCCTGTAGGGAGCCCAAACCCTATACCTTCTAAGAGATCCCTAGTCTGGCCCAAGGACTCTATAAAAAGAGGGATAAGCACACATTCTGAAACCCTAAGAGATCAATTCACGTCTTCAGCCACCACACCAACGTGGGAGAAAGAAGAAGGAAACGTGAGGGGTTCAGAGAAGAACAAAGGCAATCCGCTCCTTTCAACCGTTTGGAGGATCGTCGTCCATCCGACGTCCAAACGTGGTGGGGACACAGACTAGAAGATCGCTCAGATCGAATCGAAGCCTTGAAGAAAGGTATATCTCTGTTCGTCCTTTAGGAGCATGCTTAGGTTTATTCGAAATCATGTATGTACATGTTTGGTATCCGATATCGATCCGTGGGTAGGACCGCCTCGTCGGCGTGTTCCAGCAAGACCATTATTCAATACCAAGCCTAACAGCTCAAAGTCAATTGTGGTGGAAGGTGGGAAAAAGTTCATGAACCACTTTCAGGAAAGCCAAACTGGAGTGCAAATAAAGAAAGGGAAGGGGAAAAAGAAGTGAAAAAATGAATGTTTACTTAGATTTGTTTTGGACATGTTTTAGTTGTGAAACAATTGGATGTTCACTTAGATTTATTTCGGGTTGTAATGTGGACAAACAAGTTTTGGTGTAGATGTTATTTGGATTTTGTTTGAATGTTGGATTTGTTTTGGTTCTCATGTGGACAAAACAACTTCTGGTGTACATGTTCTTGGAATTTTGTTTGAATGCAATGGCAAGAACAGATAGTGTACTTTTATGTTGTTGTGCCCTTTTAGTGTACATGTTTTTGGTGTACATGTTTTTGGTGTTTACTTTTATGTAAACAAGTTATATAAACAGGTTATTGTGCCCTTTTATCTTCGTACAATTTCAGCATTACACTTTTCATTGAAAATAAGGAAAGAAAGACAGTTTTTGTCATTCCAAATACAACATATTACATCAAACAAATGCTATTACACAACATACAAAAGTAGGTTAACATAAATAGGATCCTACCATCTTAACCATCCTACTATTCAAAATGCAAACACCAACATCTTCACTATGCCACCATTCGAACTATATTACAGAACAACATTCAAAATGTTATTAAAGATCCTAACAACATCTAAACATAACACTTCACAGTCACTGAAGCATCTTCACTTGGTTCATTCCATTTGGGTTCTTAGCACCTTTGAAATTGGATAAAATAACCAACACCAGACCAAAATGAAGACTATCTTCTTCAACTTTTTGTTCAACTTCACCAAATGTTCATTTTTCAATTTCAGCTTCTCAATCTCAGTTTTCCTTTCATTCATCTTCCTCAAGCGGCCCAAAAATTATCATTTTAGACCTACGACACATAGGAGGATCGAACCAGTCAAAGTAATCACACCCTCCATGCTGTAAGAGTCAAATTTAGAAATCAGTAAACCAGAAATTCCAAGAACATGAACCAACAATTTCATTACTAGAATTCTAATTAACACCTTACCTCATAATTCAAGCATGACTGGAATCGCCGCCCAGGGTTGGTGTCCTTCCATGATGTCCGAATCACTGTCCTCCGACCACAATGCATGTCCTATCTCCGGTGACGAAAGACATATTTCAATTGGGGTTGAGATTTGAGAATTTTTCAGAAATTGGGGGACAGAATCTGAGTACACCTGTTTCAACGTTGATCTTTTGCTCAATTGTATTTCGATCAACACAAATTTCGTGGGACTTTGGGGGATTAGGGTTCTAAAGTTCGGTTTGGGAATTTTGGGATGTTGAGAATGCCCGATTCTATGATTTTTCGCCTTTTACATGAAGCTGAACCGGGCCACGTGGGATGTGTAATATCCAGTAGGGAAAAAAACAAAGCCAACATGTAAATAAAGAATACCACGTGACCGACGCGTGGATTTCCGGCCCAGAAAATCGTAAAATGTCCCACTATTGATCATTTTTTAAAATTTTTTTTTAAAAAGCACTGTTCTAAAAGTCGGCCTAGGCGGCCGCCTAGGCGGCGCCTAGGCGCTAGGCGGTACCCGAGCGCCTCCGATTTGCACAAGTCGGCCAAAAAAATCGGCCAGACGGCTAGGCGGCGCCTAGGCGGGCTAGGCGGCCCTAGGCGCTCTTAGGCGGCCTTGGCGGGCTCAGCGGTCAGGCGGTTAGGCGGCGCCTAGGCGGGAGTAGGCGGACCTAGGCGCTCCTAGGCGGGCTCGGCGGCAATTTTTCAATTTTTTTTTTTAAAAAAAATACTAATTACATTATTTTGTTCTTATGTTTTCTTTAAAATATATTAATATTATTATTTGGACTTGGTGTGTCGATTTATTATAAATTGAGATACTTTTATTTTGTTAGTAGTTAAATAAATAAAAAATAAGGTATTTAATATTAATTTTTAGGCCCCGACTAGGCGCCGCCTAGGCCCCGCCTAGGTGCTCTAGGCACTAGGCGTTGGTCGAGCGCCTAGCGGGCGCCTAGCGACTTTTAGAACAATGTTAAAAAGTTGCGGGACCATTTATATTTTCGCAATTTCGTTGGGACCAAAAGTGTCACCTCCCAAACCTGTGGGACTACTTTTGAATTTTTTCCATTTACGAAGAGTACAAGATTTTACAGCATTTCAAGGGTTGTCCGTACATAACTGAATGTTACGGTCGCGAGACGACAATCGATCGTGATGGCATGTCGGCTTCCAACGTGTTGTTCGAGTACGTGTCAGGCAGGTCCCTTCACCACCGGATCCAGAGATCGGGCGGCCGCGGGCTGCCTGAAATGGAGGTTCGGAAGCACGCGCGCTCCATCCCCCGAGGCTTGGATCACATCCATAAACTCGGGTTCGTGCATTGTGACCTCAAGCCGGAAAATATTCTGCTTTGTGAGAAAGGACCGTTTGTGGCTAAAATCGGAGATTTCGGTCTGGCTAAAGAGGCGTTTTCGTCTCCCGAAACGAGGGGTACGCTCATGTACATGTCGCCCGAGGCCGTGTGCCGTAACACGCAAGAAGTCCCGAGCGACGTTTGTTCGGTTGCGTGCGTCGTGCTCGAGATGCTGACCGGGAAGCCACCGTGGGATGAGACGAGTGAGCAGGAGATTGTGGCGGGGATAGTCGCGCAACGCCTGCCGAAGATTCCGAAGGAGACGATATCGGGCCACGCGAGGAATTTTTTGGAGCAGTGTTTCGAGTGGAACACTTTCTTCAAAGGGAGTGTCGAGTCGGTTTTGTACCATCCGTTTCTTGGTGGTTTGGGCGAAGATGATTGAGTTCAAGAGTAGGAGTTGTCTGAGGGCTTTACGGTGACGGTGCTTGTTGTACTACTTGGTTTACGGCGGGCAGCTCGTTGTATTCTTCTTGGTATGTAAGCTGCAGCTCGTTTGTGTTGTCAGACGAAGAGATGTTGACTTAATATCTCCTATTTATATTGTGTTGTTCCACTTGATGTGTAGTTATGTAATGTTGAATAATTTGAGATGGGACTGAATATAATAAATGGAACTTAAGTTAACTAAAATATTAATTTCAAAAATATTAAGAATATGGAATAATTACAGCTTAATTCCACCCAAGTTGGGACTGTAAATGCTTGACTCATAATATATAGTTGAGGCCATTTTTATTCATAAGAGATTACATAATGATCGATCCAAAATTGATTTAAAAACCAATAGCAAAGTCATCATCATATTTGATTTTTCATTATGTATCATTGCACTTTTTTAAAATGCTGCAAGTTTAAAAAGGTATTACGTACAGTCAACACGTAAGAGTAACAGAAGAAAAATCATAAGCTAAACATATAATGAAGATTACACTTTCATCTGCTATAATACCTTACATAAACTCATCTGTAGGGCGTATCCACAACAGATTAAATGAAAGTGAAACTAACAACAGAGTAAAAGATCAGGATTTTCTGTATCTCAATCTCAATTTACAAGTAATCACATCAAATCCACTTCATGAACAGTACTCTTCGCAAAATTGCCAACCGAACAATGCCGTTATTTGTATCCCCACTCCTCTTGCGAAGGCACATCGTTTTCAAACTCCAAACGGCATGACTGCTCGTCATCCGACCCGTCCGCAACTTCCTCATGCCCGCAGCAAAACGAATCCGATGATTTATCAGAACATGAGTTGTCATCCACATCACTATCTGAATCCAACAACACGGACTCACTATCGTCAAACTCGTACATGCGTACATATAAATATATAAAGGATAACATGAACTAATATAATACATGCCATCCTATTATTTTACATATCACATCACTTTTATAATCCACAATCTTTTATATTTACGTCACTTTGTGTCATACATTATGCCGAATTGTTTTATCAAAGTACTTTTACTGTAAATATATGTATTATTCATCTTGTTGATGTACGAAATTCGATTCAGTGGTTTACGAAAGTTTCTTATATGATATTATTACTGAAGGAGGTGAGGTGACTCTAATTTTGTATAGTAAAGCAGCTCGGGTACTTCAATATAGTAGGGAGTTACTTTTAGAAAGAGAATCTCTCATTTTGTCTTAGATACAATAAATTACGGGTATTTATAGTGCACAACCCACGAACACCGTTTACGATGTCAATACATTAGCATTTAATGTGATGTGAAGACAGGTGTGTGGCTCTGCAGAGCGAGTCCAACATCCAATGATCCCTATTCGACTGTACGATGAACTTGCATCTTGTCCACGAATACTATTCGCGCTGTCAGTAAATTAGCATTTAATGTGATGTGAAAACGGCGTGCGGCTCTGCAGGGCGGATCCCATACATCTAATGGTCGCTTTTATACATCGGTTCCCATAGGATCTCGATGAGTTTATGTGGTTGGGTGACTGATCTTAATGTAATATTAGTCGCGTTGCCGAGCTGTCTACTTTTCGTTGTTTTGTCTCTGATGTCGGATGTTTATGTTATTCACACCACGTTTATTTTTTTGGGTACAAAGAGAGAGGCTAATGCCTAAGTACCGGAAATCGGTACGTGTCGAGGGTACGAGACCCCAACAATATCATGGTGTAACCATTCTCGAACTTCATCCGGCGCCACTTCGAAGGATTGGAATCCACCCGGGCTCCTTGTAGCCACCCTCGCCATGCAATCCGCAACAAAGTTGGACTCTCGAAATCCATGGCATACCTTCACCGACCATTGCCTCTTCAACAAATCCTTAATAGCCAAGATTAAAGCCCTATGTATCCCCTGCTCAACATTGACACTTTGGATCATCGAGATAGCACATAAGCTATCTACTTCTGCAATTACTCGACGATAACCCGAGTTCCATGCTAGTTGGAGCCCTTGGAGAAGCCCCCATAATTCACACCACGTTTATGTTGTTGATTAAGGAGTCAACAGTTCAAATGTCAAGACATCTAATGCACTAGACTATGTCAAACGAAATGTAAAAATGTTTTGATGGTAAAACCGCGTCGTTTGTGGTCCTCATTTGATGGTGATGTTGGATGATCAATTCATGGAAAATATCTATCTTCGTTTAAAATAACATTTTTTATCAAGAAATGAAATATGTAAAACTGCGACTATGAATTTATGATACCAAACACCAATAAGGAATATGGAGTTTTAATTACACTTTTTATTTGTCAACAATTTGATTCCCACTAATCTGTAATAAAAATGTAAGAAAAATAAGTACAAAAAGAAAAACTAAAACAACGTCTTAGGTGCCGCCGGCCGCCGTTTGGTTAGTTGGTACGGCGAGTTTGCTGCGACCCTGAAATTTACCAACGGACAAGATTAAATTTCAAATAATAATAACAATTTATAATAATAATTAATAAGAAATAATAATAATAATAATTAATAACAAATAATAATAATAATAATAATAATAATAATAATAATAATAATAATAATAATAATAAATTTACTAGTTTATTTTTATAAGAAATTACCCACCTATCCCTTCTCTTCTGCAAAAATCGAGCCAATGAACTTTTCCTTGCGATCGGTAAATCTGCAGCAAATGATAAAAAGGATTCAACAAAATTAATTAACTCATATTAATCAATTAATCAAGCTACTATATCATAATTAAATTAATCAATAGAAAATTCTTCGGGATTTTTTTAATGCAGTACCCGAGTCGAGACCCAGTTGAGGAGCGTGGGGAGCACGCTCCGGTGGAATATTTCCAGCGCCGGCGACGAGTTCCGCCGTGATGCGAGCCGTTTGCGGCGGAGCAAAGTTGCCGGAATTTCCAGCGAGCGCCATGATCTCCATGGCCCTGTCGGCCGGTAGATCGTCGAACACGGCGACTCGACCCGCGTAAAACACAGTCATCTGCCCGGTTTGCTTTTCCGGGACCCGACCCGATTTCTCAACGTTGGGCAAAAGATTCAAAGTCTCTGTTTTCAAATCAAGCAAGAAAAGGAAACAGAGAGCAAAATAAGAAACAAAATCCAGAAGCAAAATCACAGATCGATCAATAAAAGCCTCGCAGAAAAGGGAAAATCAGATTCAATTAAACCCTAAAATCTGAATCGCACCTTTAGATTCGGAGGATTTAGGGGTGAGGGCGAGGCTGAGCTCGCCGAAGCTGCCATTCATCTTCAAGTACCGACTCAGAAGGGCACAGGTCTGCGAGAAGCTGGACCTACCGCCGGGGAACCTGCCGGAATCCATTTTTCCTGACGAACCCATCTCAAATCCGGCAAGGAGAATTACAGAACACTCGAAATTGGGTTGAGGGTTGTGTTTGAACTTTGAATTTGAATATGAGGTGAAGGTTTTTGTGGATGAAGAATGAGTTTGGGACAAAGGGATTTTATATGAGTTTATCAACTTTTTCATTTTTTTTATTTTTTTTTCGAATTTTATTAATTGAGTAAAAAAAAAAGGATAAATACTAAATAGGCACGAGGAATATGTGGGTAATTGAAATGGTCGTGATATTAAAATTTAAAAACGAAATTACTTTATTTTTGCCAAAAAAATAAAACGTGTGTATTTGTCCGTCAAGTGAATAGCAAGGCACGTGGCGTACTGTCCTTTCGCGTGTGATAATGTGAATTTACGGTTGTGCCCATGGGTGGTCTGTCTTTCTCATATTCTTGGGCAAATTCTATAAAAGTACCTAGACCCCTTTTCGACTTCCAGTTCAGTCTCTTCCTCTAATTTTCTTCCACTTTATCCCTCCCACTTGCAATAAAATAATAACCCTCTTAGTATTCCCACAATACCCTTATCTTTATTCAAGTCCAGAAAATTAGTACCAGTTTATTTTGGAATCGTACCACTTTAATAAGAGAATAGTACCAACTTTATTAATACGTAGTACCAAGCTTTTGTACCTGAATTTTCCACTTAAAGAGTTCCCACAATAAAATGAACAATACCAGGCCCAACATGCTTCCGTAAAATTAAATAACTCCATAATTTTCGTACCTTTTTTGACCAAAATGGTTCCGGGTGAGATGGGTTGCAATTCCACCAGTCGGAAAATTAGTGCCCCTAGTTCCTTTCACGGACGACTCCTCACCGTCTAACTTCACCAATGGGAAGATGAACTACAAGTTATCCGACTCCTTCAGATACCACTCAGCACAGCCTTGGTTCGTTTCCTACTCCAGGCGTACAGATACTTAATTATGGAGATAGATGAAAATTACGACAACATGTTGTGAAGCCAAAGCCTCTTTTTTATTAAGAACTCAAAGTGATTTTATTACATAAGTAATCTCCTTAAGGGAGGAGAAAACCTTTTAGCCTCTCATAATAGAGGCAAACACTCGTACACACATAAAAATTACAAAGAAAATTAAAAGACACACAAGCTCACACACTATTATTACAGAGAATTTTATTTTGATGAAAAAACTGAAGAGGATGTTCGATGTCTTATGTTTCCTCCAAATCTTGTATTTATAGAGGTCTTGGAGTCCTCTATTATTGCTTGTACCAACCGGTAGATAAATGCCTTGTTGTCTTCACATGTTGATGGGTCCGGTTTGGAGAATTATTGAACC